AGCCCTAAGAGAACACATCAGTTTTTACTGTACCCTTAATCCTTTTACAGCAGATAAAGCTCTACTTCGATGTGAGGGTAGAGAACAGAGCCACGGCTTCAAAGACTAGTATAAGGTCGGCAGCTTCCACCTGAAATTTTTTGATATCAGCCAACTTGACCCAAATCTTTCTCCTAAAGTTCCATCTCATGGAGGTTGGATAAAAATCCGGAATCTTCCTCTGGATAAATGGGACAAAGGTACCTTGAAGCACATCAGAGATGCTTGCGGTGGTTTCATCGAAATAGCTAAGAAAACCCTATCGAGACTTGACCTGATGGAAGCAACCATTAAAATCAAGGAAAATCCATTTGGATTCATCCCTGCAGACGTATGTTTCATTCATCTCCCACAAACCTTACCAAGGTTCAGATTGACCCTTTCTTCCATTCAGAAAATTTTATAGGCTAGGCCGCCGGAATCCATGGAGTCATACCCACCGGAAAACGCACTGTTCCGGCCCCTTCTTGCCTCTCCGACGGACTGTTGGGAACAGCACCAGCTGTTACACAAAAAAGGAACTTCTCAAACCTTGAGACAGAAAGTTCTCTGCAGATTGACCACCCACGTACCTGTACTGACACCGATGGGCCCCACCCCCTGCTTCTCTCAGCTGCACCAAATGACCCATCAACATCAAAGACTAAACCAAGCCTCTTGAGACCCGTGCCACCCTACCCACCCTCTGATCATTCACCAATCTGTCCATCCATTAATACGACAGGGCTACCAAACCAAAAAACCTTCCCCTCCCAAGCAAAGTCTCTGTCACACGACCTACCCCCGCCAGCCCCCCAATACCCATTAGAATTGATTATTGACCACTTTAAAGATCTTATACCTATATCACCTCCTCCAATACAGACATCTCCTCTCCCCAACCCAACTCTACTACTTGAAGGGCCGAAACTAGCTGTTAACATTGAGGAAAAGCAAACCTTCCTTATTCCAGGTACAAAACAATCAACAAACTCCCCTGTTCTTCTCTCTGAATCTGAACAAGGTTTATCTAGTCCCTATCCCCTTACCTCTGAACCACCCTCCCCAATCTCCCATGCACATACAACAGATAATGTGGCCCATGCTTCCATGGAGAGGACTGACCAACAACCTTCCCCTTGTTTGTTCGACCCCAACATCCACCCTTCAGAGTATCTCCAAGTAGTAGCACCTTGGCTCTATACTATGGGAATGGGCATTTGCCCAATCCCTACCAAAGTCACAAAGAAGATGCTTACAAACAGAAAAGAGAATCGAGGCAAGAGGGAACTAGCTGGACTTTCATCTTCCATAAACTATGATAAACCCTTCCCTTCTCTCACTGCTGGTGGGTGTACATCTACTAAATGATCATTCTCTCTTGGAATGTCAGAGGTCTTGGGTCATGGGACAAAAGAGCTATGATCAAAAGCCTCATTACTAACCAAAATCCTACCATTGTCATCCTCCAAGAAACGAAATTAGAAAAGATTGACCGTCTCACCATTAAATCGCTATGGAGCTCCCGGGATATTGGGTGGACAGCGTTGGATGCATCACGCTCATCAGGGGGTATTCTTATTATGTGGAACGACCCATCTTTCCATGTTTCTAACATCACTGCGGGACTCTACACTTTAACCATCCTTATCACCTTTACTGATGGTTTTAATTTCTGGCTTACAGGGGTCTATGGACCATCTAGAGATTCTGAAAAGCCTCTTTTTTGGCAGGACTTAACCGATCTCTCTTGTCTATGCACCGTCTTCTGGCTTCTTGGAGGGGATTTTAACTCCATTAGATGGTCACAAGAGAAATCAAACTACCGCCGATCGAATAGAAATATGAGCTGCTTTAACTCATTCATTGAGAACGCAGAGCTATAGGACATCCCCTTGACAAATGGTCTCTACACATGGTCGGATTATCGAGACAGCCCCACCCTTACCTTGATTGACAGATTCCTTGCTTCCATGGATTTCCTCTGAAAATTCCAGAATGCATCGGTTAAGAGATTAAGCCGCCCAACCTCAGATCACTACCCCATCCTGCTCTCTTTTGGCATGGCAAAATGGGGCCCATCTCCCTTCAAGTTTGAAAATGCTTGGTTACAACATCGATCCCTTAAACATTTGATTGAATATTGGTGGATTAATACCCCTCTCAGAGGATGGCCGGGTCACGGTTTTATACAAAAGCTAAAGGGGTTAAAATCAGTTTTAAAGTTATGGAACAAAACCACTTTTGGAAGCATCACACAACAAAAGAATATTCTTCTTTCTGAACTTTCAATCTTGGATAGTATAGAAGAAGAAATGGGTTTCTTGCAACCTGTACAATCCACACAAAGGAGATCCATCAAGGCTCAACTTCTTTCCACAGTGGCAAAAGAAGAATCCCTTTGGAGACAGAGAT